CCCTAACAAGGAGTGATATTGATCTTGTTCTTACGCAATTAAGAATTCTTGTAGTCGTTTTGAAAGCTAAATTTTATAAAACTTGATTAACTTTGAATGTAGTTTAAAAAAATATCTGGTATCCTATAGAGACAAATATTAAAAATGCAAATAAAGAGAATCTCAATTTAGTAGAAGAATTTTCTTTATTTGAGATTCATTCCATAGAGACAAAGAATTTTAGTGAGTTTTGAATGGCTTTATAGAGAGGAAGATGTTGAATAAGTGTTATGTGAGGAAATGTAGAGATTTGATGAGCTAAGAAATTCTAAACCAAAAAAGAGGTTAAACCTTACTCAATTCTGATTCCTTAATTCGGATCATATACTTCAACAGAAGCAAACAATATTGCTCTAAAATGATCTGTAATAACGCTCTGCTATTAAAAAATCTTAATTTTATTCTAAAAAAGTTGATAGCAATTAAGCATTGATTTACCAGAAAAATTAAAGTAGAAAAGAAATATAATTGAAAAAGGAAGGTTTATAATTAGAATATTTGAACTTCTTAGACATAAGTAAAACAAATAAATATAAAAATACTCAAATTATAGATAGCAAAGTTCTTATTAATATTGGAATTGGATTAAAAATTGAAGCTTTAACTATAAAAGTAGTAAAGAAGGAAAAAGATTATTCTGTATTCCAACTACCTTAACTAAAAATCTTTAGTGTTATTGAATGAAAACAAAAGAATTTGTTATAATAAGAAATACTTCATTATTTACGATTGAACCTAGAAATCATAACAGATTGCATGACACTTTTAAAAAATAAAAAATAGAATTATTTAATAGAGGAACAATTCTTATTATGATGAGGAAATCCTAAGATTAATCAAAATTTACCACTTTTATTTTAATATGCAATTAATTGATTCACTAACATAACTCTGGTTTGAAATAGTTAATATTTGGTCTCATTCTCAAAACATATCAACCTATGAGACACTTTTTCGTAATTAAATTATTATTGCTTATGGATGAAAAAAACTAAATTCCAATTTTATTTTAAGAATTTTTTAGACAATAAAAAATTCTAATTATCTAAAATGTTTGGGATTACTTTTTAATAAGGATTTAGAATTCTAAAGGCAGAATAAATATTAATATATATTTTAATGAATCTTTGAATATCGCTCTCTTTGGGAAGGGTTTTTCCTAATATTTTATATTTTGTGAATATCAAGAATCTGAAGCATGATTAAATTTTATAACCTAAACAGTTATTTTTTTAATTATTTGATTGAACAAGAAAGATTTAAGATGCCCTATACACCTGAATTTAAAATAAAAGCAAACATTTTCAAAAGTTTAATTGTTATTCTTAAACTATTTCACATAAATGAAGATTTTTTAATTTTCCTTACTTCATGTTCAATTTTTTTTCCCAACATCAAACTAATAGTATTATTATAATGTATCTGAAACCAAAATTTCATTCAATTTATAAATTTATTCTGAAGAATAAATAATTTGTAATACAATAAATATATTCTTCCTTCAATAAAATCAAAAAAAAAGGAAGTAGATAATCAGTGCTGTTTGATTGATTGCAAAATTTTTCAACTGAGATTTTCAAAAACTTTGTTTCTAAACGCCTTGTAGAAATAATATTTAAGTCAAAAGTGATCGCCATTTTTAACATTAGCCTTATTATTAGAACTATACCTTCCAAAAATGTAATTAGAAACACCATTTAGACAAAAAATAAATCCTAAAATAAAACACTTTGCGGGTTAAAAATAATCATTTATAAAATGAGCTATGGTCATCATGGATTCAAATGAAATCTAGTACATTAGAATAAACTTAACCTCATTATTTTGATTTTATTAAACACTAAAGTAAATGTTACAATTCAATCAAATTGCAACTATCTTAAGATTAGTGCAGGCTGAAATCATAATAAAAATTTGAAAATTATACAGAACTGTTGATCATAACTTTATTCTAGATTTCTTGATATGATCAAATATAGATATATATATTTAGCATCTCATAATCTGTTATCAATTGATCTTGATCTATCATTTAATTTAGCTAATAACTAATATAAATCAATAATCAATTATTACAAATACATTAATTTTAATTTGCCAACTTTCTGAATTTATTGGATTTTAACCGTATTCCATTATATTTTTCAGAAAATTCTCCATCAATCAGCTGTTTATTAGAATGAATACTTTTTGCCTAAATTTTCATCTTACTCTATTGGAAAGTTTAAAATTTTGATTCCTCCATTGTTTATTAAGAGATAAATACATTCCAATATTAAACCAGACATCAATTATCAAAATTCTAAAAGTAATATTAAATAAATCATTTTTAATCAATTTTAGATCAAACTATATTACTAAAAAATAATTTTACATTCTTCATGTTACAAGAGTTTCCATTTTGATTAAGATGAACTCATTTACAATTTATTTACAATTTTTCATCTCCATCTTAAACATTTTTTTTCTGTTTTCTTATATTTTAGGCTCAGCCGAAAATGTATCATAAATCTTACTTGTTTAATTCTATTTGTAATATACTAAAGTAAATTCCAAAATGGAAGTTCAAAATAACTATGTTTCTCTAAATTAGTTGAACCTACTTTGATCAAAACTATTATTACTGACAGAAATTAGATTTGATAATTATTGAATTGTGTAGTCAATAATCTTTGAATTTTTATCTAATCATGAAAAAATCAAAGTTGCTTATAATTTTCAATCAAATTCAAATCAAATTCTTTATAATATAATCTCAAAATTATGTATTAAAAAGTTCAATATTAACATTATTTTCTTATGGGAAGCTCAAGGGTTAAGTATAATAAGCAATAATTGTAAAGCAAAAATGGTTTTTATGAGGCTTTCCCTTAATTAAAACATCTAGGTGAAGAATTTTTCATTTGTTTGAAAGATTGTTAAAAGTAAAGGTTGAAGATTCTCTAGAATTTCTTTCAGAAAAGATGAATCTATGGAAAAATGCAATTTTTGAAGGGTAGGAGGTAAGAATGTATAAAAAAAAAATGAAGAATTATGATTTTAATAAACAAAATTACTCCTCCTTAGATGAATATAAAGGAATGAGATAAAATATAGGATATTAGTCTGGATCAAATACTTTTCATCTATTAGTTGGAATTAAGGGGGATTTATAAAAATAATCATTTGAAAATATTAGAATTAGAAATACATCACAGCAAACACATGAGATGCAACTTAAGTGGATTAGAATTTGACAATATCAATATTAATGGAATGAATTGAAATGAAGCAAAATTAATTAATTATAAGTGGAGGAATTTAATAATAAATGAGGTGATGAAGTTAAATTGTTACAGAGGTAGAGATAATGTTTGCTTTTCTTTAGATGGTTAGATATTAGTTTCTTGTAATTGTGATAATTCTATACTTTTTTTGGATGTTAGAACTGGAAATATAAATACCATGAATCCTAGCCCTTGCCTTGGGTTAATTACCACTTCTCAATTCTTTATACTGAGTTTTTAGGCATCACAAACACTAACTTCTCATACTGGATGATTTTAAATATTTTTTATATTTAGCATTATCTAATTATGCATATTTTAGAATTCTCTTTGCTGTTACTAAAGGTTTTACAAATGCGGTACTAATAAACCCATTTCATCTTCTGAGTCAAATAACGCAATGCAATCAGGAAGAAATTGAAACTGATAATTGCAACTCAAAATTATGAAATATTAGTTGAAGGAGCATGTAAATGTAAAAGTTCAATCCTTGAGGGTCTAAACTTTCATCTTTTTTGGAGAATTAATTTCCATCAGTATTAAGTAAAGTGTAAATACTCATGATGGCTGTCTTCTGCATTATTTTTACAAATTACCTTAGTAATGAATTACTGATGTAACCATCTTGTAATTGATTGAGATGATGCATTTTCTGGATTTTTGATGCTTGCACTACAATGATTAATGTACTTCCACAAAATTTTCAAATAACTGGTCGGCTTTGCAATTTGACTTAGATTGAATTACATCATTCTCCAGGTCAGTTTCTTCATATCATTAGAGTTGCAACAATCTTTTGAGAAAATACTACTTTCTGTATCCATTATTTAGCAGAATGTATAAGAGTCACAGCAAAACAACACCATCACACTTTCGTATTTAATGAGATATTCCAAGAACTTATTCTTCTTGCTCTCAATCAAAAGCCTCAATGTGAAAAAAATATTGTTATTGTGCTTCCTATCTTGAAATAGAATACACAATTGAATATCTCTTGCTATTAGCTTCAATCTACTTTTGCTATAACAAATATATGTTGTGGTTGTTAATAATATGTTGTGTTGTTAAGTCTATTTCAAGTGTTCAATAGTAAAACTCTTGCATACTTTGGTCCAGCTCTTTATTGTACCTCTATAACAATCTTTACAGAAATTTGAAACACTGTTGTTATCAATTCTATTTGCTTCCTTAGATTGTGTGGTAGGAGGATCCTATTAAGACAAAATGGGCCTTTTAACTAATGGCTATATTTCCTGAAGACTTCCCTCTATCCTCTCAAAATCCATCTAAATTCCATATAGAGTTCGTTTTGCCCTACCTTGTCTAATTAAGTTATCAAACTTAGTAAAAGGATTTTGATTGCAAGGCATTGCTCTAGCATAAGGTTTTCCAAAAAGATAATGAGGAGTTCTTCAATTTAGATCTAGTACATGTGAATTATTTGAGATCAAGGTAATGGTATGCTACTTAGAAGTACTTTTTTACACCTAAATTATTCCTCGTAATAGATGAGGCCGAATCAGTAGCTTGACTTGAAAACAATGACTAATGTTTCTCAGATACTAGTGTTACTATCTCTTAAGTTTCTCTTAAGTTTCTCTTTTTCATGGATTCTTGAGTTTACTTATCCTATTAAGTTATTGGAAAAAATAATAGTTAATTGATTTTTTTCTAAAATAAATATCAAATTATACTGAACATCCTACCCAGATTTGAAACAACAAATTATTATATAACTTCACAATTTAATTAAATTATTTGATGCCATGTTAAATCGCTTAAGATTGTTATCCGTTAGTCTTTTTTTAAATTTTCTATCGTGTCAAAGTTATGATTCTTTAACAAATCAAAAAGAATAGGATATTTGAGATTCACTGCATATATGTTGTCTCTTTACAGACAGAGTTTGTATGAAAAATATTTATTTGTTCAGGAATAATAGTATTGATGATAATCACATAGCACATTATTTCTTATTTTTCTCCTCTTAATTTTTAAAAATATATTTTATTATTTGGTACTTATTGTTTAAGATGCTGCTTGTAATTTGATGTTTGTTTCTTGTCATTCTTAGGTTCCATCTACATTGATATGATACTGAAGTGGGAAGTCTTCTTTACTTCATCCAGCCTTGATGAAATTAGATGAAGTGAGAATTAATTTACAAACAAAATGAACAACATAAAAATTGAAAATATGCCTTGCAATTTATCACATTAAAATCAAAATTTAAAATTATCCTAAAGCATATATATTTGATCTTAATAATCAAAATTTCTTTTAATAGATAAAAATATATAATTTGATACTGTAATATGTTTTGCAAAATCAACAATATATTCACTTT